CGTCATGGAGATTCGAAAAAAAAAGTTTTGATTCCAGGTAATCATAGATATAAAAAGCTATAATATGTTCGAAAAGTCTACAGGAAATAGGTTGAGAATTAAGGCGTCAGTACCTGTCACCGGGTTGAACACGGGGACGAACTTGCCGATCCACCAGTCCTTAGACAAAACACTGGATCAAAAGGACTCGTTGAAAAGGAGACACAGAAAGTGACTTTCAATATACTTATTAACACCACTGATATTTCAATTGATTTTATCAATGCCGGATGAAGTAGAGGCCTTGAGATTCGTGATGAGGTTAGCGATATCTTATCTCTCTGTAGGGACGGTTATGCGAGTCATGGAACCAAAGGGCTGATCGGGGATAAATAGCTCATTCTTGCACAGCAATCTTGGTGTGTCAAAACAGAGGCGAAATGCGCATTGAAAGCAATCGCCCAAGCTTCTTTAGAAAGCAGAGTTTGTTTAGAATTGTGTAATGCAGCATGATCAGAACACTTATCGTGAGGAGAATTTATTTGCCAGAATAGGTTTTGAATCAATTTTAAAGTGATCGCAAGTCTTGCGAAATATTTTTTTTTTGCTGCACTAAGTTTTACAATGCTCTTGCAAGCACACCTCATATTTTTCACTGTAGGACACATAATCACTGCCTTTCGCGGTGTTACACGGAGGTTTCTTTAGGGCCAAAGCTGTTGTGAGATCACAACAAGGGTCGCTTGAGGCGCCAAAGTTGTCCGCCGCCACCGGTGTCCGTAACCTCTATCGCACAAAATAGGAAAAAACTCAGTAAACAAAAACATCAAGGACACAATGGGATTCGAACCCGGGTCACTTGAGTGTCATCCCAGTATTCTACTAGAGAGTCACGCCGGTGTTTGAATCTCTGCTACAAACTGGCCATTGCCAAGCTTGATGTCGGGAAAGGAATTGCGTTATATGAGTAATAAAGCACTTGAGAACAGCAAAAGAACAATGAGGAGATCACTGAATGTTAATTGCATAACGAGTGGGTTGTAGAAGGCTTTGACCTACTAGAAAAGCTGGAGACATAACTGTTCATCGTCGTCAGCTATAACATTAAAAATTTCACGATATTTCCAGCAAGTGTATGGCGGGTAGCACGCTTTTTTACTTGATGAGAAAGCATTGAATAATGAACGCCTCCCTGCTACAGAGTTATTCGCATGTGCGTAGCGGGTACCATACTTCGCCGAAGTGTGATGACGAATGGCATCCTGAATGCCTCCTTACTACACAAATAATATGATGATGAATGGCGCAGTGTGTTCTGCAAGTGTGCTTGTTGCAGTTATTTAAAGTGGCTGGGAAAGGCCGCTGTTCCAGCTTCTGGTGTGACTGCTTCGCGTTTCCCACATTCCTAATGTTTTTTTTTTTTTTAATATTCGAAGCTGCTGAGTAAACCAAGGTAACCCTTAACGTTGGATGTAGAGATTAGAGGCATTACCTGGTCAACTAGCTCTAATATTTTTTGTTAAAGAAGATTTTGTAAATGTAGTTTATATTTCCCGTATTATATTATACAGAGAGTACAGAAAACACGAATATACAGGAAAGTGGCATCCCTCCTCCCGGACAATTCTTTTTCTTTCGAGCTCACAGTTTCCGGAATACGCGAATGTTTTTGTATTTCGCGCCCATAAAGATGTGACCGTCATGACAGGTAGTCCAGGACGTTTCCCTCAGTTTATCAGAGCAGAATACCAGCCGGCAAAGATAAGCATTACTGAAGCACTGTTGATAAATAATGCTAGAACGGCGCGGAAAAAGCGAAAGGAATTGTGCATAGGAATAGATTAGGGTGGCGGGCGAGGGGGGGGGGGAGGCAAGCACATGTGGAGAGAATATACGCATGCATACATACAGCCTTATTTCGCTTTAAGTTTTAATTTCTAAAGCATGCCAACGCCATGAGCTGCGTCAGCAACACATAAAGGCAGTGAATAAGAATCACGAACACCCTTGTGCACCCTCTTAGTTTTTTCTCTTTAATGCGAATTCGTGGAAAGGCCTTGCCACTTAGTGCAAGTGAGCGGCTGTCCTGCTGGGCCCTGCTTCTTTTCCCGCGAAAACAATTGTTTTGTGCAATTAAGCAGGGCGCCTCCGTCTCGCCATGACCGCCATTTTTTCAAGTGTCCCGAGGCTGCCGACCGACTGGTAGCATTTTAATGACTTTTGTACGCGCCAACACAAAATGCCAAACTTCTTCGGCAGATAGGGCAGGATAACTGGCTAAGGAGTGTAGATTGGTCGTGGATAACAGCGCGAAGACCCAAACATAGAGCAGAAGTGAACACGGCACGGCGCTGTTGTGAGTGTAGATTGGGAAAGTACAGGCACATAGGTTAAACGTTATCAAGAGAAAACGTACGCGTCTATTTAACGTGCACGTTATTCCACAAAAGATAACCGTCCTGCATCACAAGTCATCCAAAATTATTTACTCATATTTGACTTAACGGTCGCAATATATTTCTTGTCCTAAAAAGGAAATTTGTTGTAATGTACAAGTGTGTGAGTGTTAGTGTCGGTCTTACAACTAAGTAAAAGGGGGAGACATAAATTTGTTCACCATTTCGCCGGACGTAGATTGAATGAAGAACGAATATCTTCAGTGACCCACAACCCGAGACAAGCGTGACTTCTGTGGGTGAGCTGTATGTTCTCTCCGAGTTAAACAAGCGAGTCAAAGAGCCGGAAATACCCCGAGGAAATAGATTCTGTGGGCCTTGCCGTACATCTCGCATGAGCGTCACTCCTTTCACCCGCGAGAAAACACTTTCTGTGGTAAATTCCCATTTTCAAAACCAATACATTTTTAGTCAGGTGATGCTTTCTCATTGTTGCACACAGACGACACATTTTCGAAGGATTTGGGATTAAGACTGATCGTTCGCCTCACGTCAGCAGTAGCAGTGTAGAAGCGATAAGCAAGCCTAATTTTCGTCGCTGACTGGGGTGGCGCGCCTTCTTAATGGAACCCTTCCGTTCAAAAAGACTTCTTTAGATGCTTTTCCTTGCTGCAGTAGTCTCGCTGAAGTGGGAGCAAAATGGGGAGGCTTGCATATACTTATGGGCTTGGTAAACAACCTAAATGAAGAAATTATTATACCTTTCAAGAGGCTAAACCTCACGAGGTTTTTCGAGTACTACAGTTTTATCATAAAGGCTTAACTAATTAATAGTATGAACTCTGTAGGAAAGAACTGTGTGGAAAACTTCCCTTTTATTGCATTGCTCCTGCCTATACTCGATTGTGGCCATCTTGATTCGTTACTATTGTTAGGGTGACAGAAGCTGACAGTTTCACCTTATTGATAATTTAATGATCTTGCCTCCCTGTTATCTAGGCCGACTTCCACGCCAACAGCTTCAACGTTACAGCTCAGCGACTTCTACTGAACGGATTTTGGACTTCGCATCTAAACACGCAAGTCTACCTTCAAAATATGTTTTGAAAAAATTATCCGCAGCCCTATCAGAATCTGTCCGAAAAGCTCACATCTATGACTTGTTAAGAGATTGTTCGAAATGTGTTCTTTCTAAGTTACCTCGGAGAAAGCTTAATTTCGTTTGTTAACAATCATATTTTTACGCTTAAAAAACTTCTGAAATTCAACGTTTTCTTACGTTTTTGTTAGGTTTTTATGAGAAAATATGGTCACTCATAAGGACTTTTTGAGAAGCACAATTTCTTGTGAAATGATATATTTCATACGAACACATTTTTTGTGATGTTGCATTGTAACGAAAATATTATCTGAGATGAACATATCGTGAAATGGTATATATCCGCCGAAAATTGTTTGTTTGTTTATTTTTGCGTCCATCTGTGGCACGTACCCGCTCTGGAGGATTGGTCAAGAACGCGAAGCTGAGAATTTAAAAGGGCATTTTATGCTAAAAAAATAAATCGCCGAAAACTTCGTTTCCACCGATGTTTAGTTTTAAATGCCTCAGGCTTTCCTCGGAATAAGTATGCCAAGTAGCGTATTGATCACCGACATGTACAGTGTACGGAAAAAAGTAATTTTATCAAGTGGTTTCCTGGTTTAAGGGGAAAAACTCTTTTAATATTGTGTTCTATGGGTAAAATTATAGATTATGCACATTCTTTGTCATCGTAGCAAATCCTTCTCATGGTAAGTGTAAATAACGTGTGCGTACGCAAGTTTTCGTGCGTCCTGACGGGCAATTTAAAGTCATGGATGTCTTCTAGCGTGCCTATATTTGAATTCGTCACCAGCTAGTATTAGCCTAAGTCAAATACCAAAAGCCATGAGTCAAGGAAGACAGCATTAATGCGACATGACGGTAAACTGACCGGAAATTAGAGGTAGTATTCGAAATTTCCTTGTACGATAACGAAACAAAAACAGTCACAAGAAAATAAATATCGCTAATTCGAAATTAAATAATGAGTAGCCGCAACACGTCAGTGAGACTTCAAGGGGCACAGCTAACATAATAACAATGTTCTGGGTTTTACGTCACAAAACCAATATGTGCTTGTGAGACACTTCATAGAAGGAGGGGGGGGGGGGGTCTCCGTGGGTTATAACGATCCGGTGTTATTTGCAGTAGCATTTCGCAGTATAGGCCCCTCACGGCCGGAATCAAACCCATGATAGGCTGCCGAGCACCATATCCATTGCGGAGAACTAGCTAACATTCCAGCTGGTAAATGTTTGAGTAGTGTTCAGTCGTTCACGGAAGGGCGCAGAGAAGGTAACCGGTAGCGTGCAGAAGAACAGAATGATTGCGGACGGGAGAAAAAACATGCTGTTAAATAAAAAAGAAAAGATTTCACCACGAGGTAATCAAATTAAGAAGATTCTCAAGTATGACACAATTACGATGATGACTGCTTATCTGCTTATTCACAGGTACTGCATCCACCAATAGCCTAAGTGAAAGAAAAAAAAAGCCTGCGAAAAGTTGGATCGTCGTATAGATACATGAAGGAGTGAACTTGCCTATGATGTAATCGTACTCCTTGTGAATTCCCGGCGGTGGAATGTCGAAGTACTCCGGCTGCTGCTCCGGTTTGAGGTGCGTGAACAGCAGAGTGATGGTGAGGATGTCTACCTTGGTAAGCATGGTCGAGTCACTCACGACACGCTGCCAAGTCTCCGACTGTCTGTGAGATTGTTACGGGTCACCACTTACGCGTTCGATGGCGTCGACAATCACTTATTCCGAGGTTTTACTTCTTCTAGAAGAACGCGTCGAGGCCGTGAGCGACCAGCATTGAAGCGGCCACGAGTGTAACTCGGTCAATATTTTCTCGACGTCTGCAAAACGTCCACTTGGACGTCGAGGCCAATAAGATGCTGGTAGTCCGTCACTCTCACCCTCGCAATTAAAACAGAAGATATGTCGGCAAATATTTTCTAGTTGAGAGAAAAATGAAGCGACTTAGTTCCACTGGTAGCTATATCGTGTCCGCGTAGCTCTCGCAGTCACCGAATAAGTGACGACGATCTTCGGGTTGCTTCCGTTCAGCACTCGCCAAGGTTTCCGCGCGGCCTTACGCGCAGTAGAAGCACGCGATCGAGCTCGCACCGGGCTGGCACATGGGCAACGGACCGAGGGGCAACCAGCCGTGGCAGCCTATATAACGTCACTGCCTCCCCTTTTCCGTGGCTCTCACTTGAGCGCCCATACTCCCCCTTTCTCGTGGGTTCGCCTTTTTGCAAATAAAGTTTACCTTCTTTCATAGAAATCAACCACTGCCGCAACTCTTTAACGTTATTCCCCTCTCTTCTCTCTCTCTCTCTCTGTCTTCTTTTGTTTCTTTTTTTTTTGCTTTCATTTTCATTATGAGCATTTGGCGTCACGAACCTTTCCCTCGTATTCGTTTTTCTCTCCGTACGAGTACGTCGATGCTCATTGCACCTCCTTGCTTACTTTGCGGGTAACCTCCTTCCCCTGGCCAGTGGCTGTAGCAAGGAGCGCTACGTCGAGATTCCGTGCGTATAAGGTGTGCCGCGCGTGGCCGCTCGTAATCCGACTAAGAAGCGCCTAATTGCGACCCTTTCTCTTTGTTCTTTGTGTGCCCACCATCCGTCTTATTCACACTTTGCAGGAAAACCGCTTGGCTCTTAGAAGAGGCAACACTCCTCTCTTTGCACTTTAGTTCTCGTCGTCCAAGCAATTGCAACCTTCGTCGCCACATTGTTCACAATCCCCGTCTCATACGTATTCCCGTCAATGCTCGCGCTGCTACTTCAAACGATCTTCGAAAATATGTAACAGGACCAGTCATTTGCGGTCTGAGAAGTGCGACAGCAATGGTGAATGAAAACTGAAGTTTTAGCTCAAATAAGGGGGCCAAGAATCAATATTACTTGCAGTGAATGAATACCGATTAAGTATGTACAAGAGTGTTGAGGTTTAAGGTTTTGAAACTCATGGCTAACAGCGGCAACGAACGTGAACAAAAGGAGGCACCTAGGTAACACCCACGCTATTTCTCAAGTGAATTTGAAACTTTAAAATTTGAAGCTGCACATGTCATTTTTTTTGCATATCACTTAGCCCTAATTGAGTACACGGTCCTCTTTTACTGCGTGCACACCCTACCCACTTGTTGCCTAATACTTCAAAATAGCTGCTAAATTAATAAAATAAATACACTGAAATGCTCAACTTTATACACTTATGAAAAATGTGTGCCAGGAAATACACATTTCATTGTTCTTAAGGACTCGATTGACTACAGTTGTATCCGATTGGTAAATAGAACAAAGTCTATCATCACAAGCTTCTTCTATGCTGTGCGCGCTGTTTACGCTAACTGAATGTTTGGAATCACGCTCGGCATGTGAACCTCTTGGCAGACAGGGTAACATTCAAAATGTGTAGCCAGATATTCTCGTTCTTGCGTTGCGAATCTCCCTACTATTTTTCTTTTGAATGAGAAAAATTGTGTTTAGCTTTTAGGAGCTGCTACAGATAATCCAAAGCAGAGAAGGTGAATGTGGCTCGTTGTCCGTTTAGAACAACAAGCCGCATTCACATACGTATCATCTGCATATTTTACACGCGCGCAGATTCAAGACATTTAAAGCAGGCTGGTGAAGGCAAACTTTTGCACCGAAGGGGCTTCTGGGTAGGCGGAATGCGCGAAAGCAGCAGGCACCCCGGAGGTTGTCTGCCAAGTTCTATTGCAACACACTTTCAAGGTCGTTCCCGTGAGGGGCTGATATACTCAGCCCCATGTGTTCGTGTGCGCGTTGCTGCTTCTTGAGATGCCCCCTCCTGCTCAAATAGCATGCATACATGAGACGTAAGCTGTTATTCAGCCAGCGCTGCATTTCATTGACGGCGGCGCACGCCAACACTTGCGCCAAATCGGCTCAATGATTCGGCAATCCCACGCGCAACGCAGTTTTTTTTTTACTGCGTTGCGCTTGAGAGCACAGTATTCAGATGTTTTGACAGAACTGGTGAATTCTGTCTCGACCTTTTATTTAATGGTTACACGACGTAGGTACATCATGCCACGCTTTCGGAATCTTGAAGAAGCTCGCAAATACTTTAGCTCTATGAAGTGTACTAGCCTGCTGCTACTTATGCGAGCTTCGTCGTGAAGAAATATGAAGTGAGTTCATCTTGCGAGCCTATATCGTGTTATACGCAACATTATTTTCTGCGTAAACTACTTAATACATCTGAAAGTCCACGAACTCACTTACAGAAGCAATGTTTTGCTCAAGAAGGTTTCTTTTGTTGAACGAAACAATTTTACACAACTCGCAAAGATGCATCGCCTGCTAAGAAAACCTATTCGGAAATCATGCAAATGGCATACATCATTACAAACAGTGCCTACTGAAGCACATCCCACACTTTAATGCGATGGGGTTAAAGAGCTCGTGTCGCAGAATTTCTGCGTCGGTGGTGGCACCGACGTTGGCTTCGTTGGTTGTGAGATAAAAATAGACTATTCCGTGAGCGAGAAATCGCGAAAATAAAAGTAATGTCAATAATAAAATTTTGCATTTCGAGTAACTATCGAAGCAAGGCCGTTTGTGCGGCAAGTAGGTGCCGCAGAGACCCGAGATTGGTTGCTATTGCGTATTGAAAAAAAAAACACAATATGAATGTCATTTAGTGGAAGGTGCCTCTTTAACATGTATATTTCATGGCAGAAGTGTAGATATGCGCGTGGCGTCAAAGCATGTGAATTGCAGCAACAAGTGGACGTTTCAATGGCCCACCTAATACAAAGCGGTCAGACGTGTTGCGAAGAGGTTGAATTTACCCTACACACACACACACACACACACACACACACACACACACACACACACACACATATATATATATATATATATATATATATATATATATATATATATATATATATATATCCGATAGTTCGCTCTCTGTCTGTAGTGTAGCGCGGGTGATCAGTGTTTTTGGTGTTTTACTTGGAAATAATAGTGCGTATGTATACATATGTGTGTGTTTTGCATGACCAATATACTGCGTTCTTCAGTTGTGATTAAATTGGAATAAACATAAAATATACACCATGAGTGCAGGGTCATCGTTTTTTGTGCCATTCGTCCAGACGGTTCAACTGTTTCTCCTACTGGAGCATTCTACTTGGACCAGCAATTAAACCAAGTGGAGTAAGTGCGAGGAGGTAACAGTTGAACCCTTGCTCACGCAGTTAGTCCAAAATTGGTTCGAAATCTGTGGCAGCCCATTTATTCCCCTGAAGGACCAATGGCTTACCCTACTTTTGCCTTCTTCGGCTAAGTTTGAAGAAGCCATAAAATAAAATGAAAAGGCAACGCAGTCACCTATGCATCACGTTTCTCCGACAGCTCTTTGCGGCGAGGTTTCAGCAATAGTCATATTCACACCACGTACAGGTGTACTCTCCAGCGAGACATATACATGTATAGGCAAGCACCTTTATGCCATGCCACGTTCTTACTCGAACACGTCCACGGTGGTACATGAATGATGTGCACCTTAAAGCATTGTGTATTAACGTTATACCGTCCAAGAAAACTTCCTTTGAGGTAGCCATGGTCGAGTAGTGGTGGCGGTGCTCGGCTGTTCGCCCGACCGCGGCAGTAGCACTTTTAATGTGCTTGCCCTAAAGGTCCCGCTTCGCAGAAATTCCGTTGTTGATTGAGATGGCATCGAGGTCGCTGGGCCTTAGATTTTAATAAAAAGGCAGCGTTGGCCTTGAACGAAAATTCGATGTTGGTGCAAATAAACATAGAAGCCAGAGAGCGTCTACACTTTGGCAACGCCTCCTTTATTTCTTTCAGCGTCGGTGCGAACTAACGTCCCTGACCAGGAGCCATCGGTGCGCTTTAGTTGAAGGACTCATCTTGATGCGGCGCCACATAATGGGTAGGGCTGTATAGGGTAGCACGCATCGAAGAACTTTTAAAGTCCCTAGATAAAAGAAGTTTTTATCTAGGGACCATAGGAATCATAGGGCTAAAAGTCGAGCTGCTTGCGTTACACATGCGTCCGAGTGCTTTCCCCCGGAGATTCGATAGACGTGTACCCCTTTCCAATATTACAAGCCCATCAGATTTCTTCCTTCGTGCTCCTTTTTTGTGGCTCGAAGCAATGCCACGGTCTCTTCAAAGTGCTCTTAAAGCCAGTACATGCAGTAGCGTTGCAGCGGTGCTTTCCTCTTGGTTGCTCCATAGTGCTACAGACGGCTACATGCTATCTCAAAATGCCGTATTTTTTAGAGCCAGCGTGACCGCCAGCATTATGAACACGAGGTATGCAAAACGCCACCTTACGGATTTTTGCACAACTGAACAAATAAAACATCGCAGCATATGCGCGGAATGTATGATGATGATAAGTGGGGCGAAGCGTTCGTGCGTGCATCCGTGTGACCGTCCGTGTGTCCGTCTGTCCGTCCGTTCATCCGCCTGTCTTTTTGTCCATCCATCCATGCGTCCGTCCGTCACTCTGTCTGTCTGTCTGTCTGTCTGTCCATCCATCCGTCCGTTCGTGTGTCTCTGTCTGTTCGTTTGTCCGTCTGTCCACCTAGTAAACACTCCTAGTACTGCCGTCTCGCCGCTTTTCATCATATATTCGTCATAGTCAAGCACCGCCATCCAGCAATCATTCTAATGACTAAACGAGAGGTGGCTACTACGACGACACGGGACGTATGACCGACGATTTTTAGGGGCGAATATGACTTCAGCCGTGGTGGGTTCTCTTCTCATAACTGCAAAGCACACGCCAAGACAAGGCGATGGCCGAGAGCAGGAAAGGACTAGAGCAGAGGAAGGTGAATGGCTGGATCAGGCCAAAGCCACCTAGATTTCAGGCATGCTTGCTGCCGAAGTGGCGTCATGTGCCTTGACCATGCCAGCGCGCACGGGAAGCTGTCAACCCCCAGTCATCATTGTCTGCCGTGAAAAAATAAATCGTTCGTGGCGAGTTTACATGTACAACAGCTTCATTTAGCCCTTTGGCTCTGGATTGGCGTAAGTTCATTAAGTATATTGTTCTTTCAATTCTTTGGTGATCTGTTTGTAAGGCTTTATTGTTCCATATAAAGTACTAACAAACATATCGTTACGAGAAGGAGACTGACTC